GCTGCAAGCAGTCCTCAACTTACAGCAGTTCGTTTAGTGACTGTTGGGAGGTGTCAGCAGCACTGAGAAAAGTGGTTTGCAGCCATTTTTCACGCTTACGAGCATTGTGGCATCCCCATGGTCACGTGATCAAAATTGGGGTGCTTGGCAAAGGCTTTGCCACCACAGGTGTCCTGTCTTTGCAACTTCCTGACAAGCCGAGTCAATGGGGGCAAGTCAGATTTACTTAATGACCGTGTTCCTAGCTTGACAGCTGCGGTGATTCCTTTAACCGCTGTGGCAAGATAAAAATAGGAGAGTGGGGCAAAACTCAACCCATTTCTCACTTAGCAACATAAACGTTTGGGCTCCATTGGGTCGTTAAGTGGAGGGCGACACACGGATGGTTTTTACAGCTGCAGGGAGGGGGGAGGGGCACAATTGTGCAAAAGGAGGCTCCTGTCTTTGTGTCTTGGCCCAGCGGTGGGGGCAGGGAGAGGATCGGATGCCCTGAAACCCCTTGGCTGAATTTGCCTCCCGTCTCCCCAGCCTTTTTTCCAAAGGCAAAAAACGAAGTTGCAAGAGCAGCTGCAACACACACACACACCTTCTCCGGGGTCCTTAATCTGCCCCCGTTGTCTCTTCACACAGCCTACAAAAAACGCCTCCATGAATCCTACCAAAAACATATGAAGAGCCAGGATACCTGACGTCCTTCCCAGCCCTGGACCACTTCACCTGGGTGGGGAGGGGGCGGTAATGCCTCTTCCCTCTTCTGTTTCATCCTTGTATTTTCTGTGTTGCCTCTGTTGTATTATAGGTCGTTTTAAACGTTATTTGGCTTTTTCCCCCCCTGGTGTTAATGTATAAATAAATGTCTCTTGTTTTTATAACGTGATGCCTATTTGAGTCTGGGGGTGGCCTTCAGGGAAGAGGGAAGAGGGCAGAGAAGGGCAAGGAAGAGGATGAGGAGACGGGAGGATAAAACAAAATAAAAAGTGAACGGTTGCAGGAATTGGGTGTGTCTAGTCCGATGAAAAGAAGGACCAGGGGAGACAGGATAGCAGTCTTCCAATGTTTGATGGGCTGCCACAAAGGGTGGTGGGGTGTCAAACTATCCTCCAAAGCCCCTGAAGGCAGGACAAGAAGCAACCTGGGAATAAGGAGGAATTTCCTGGCAGTGAGAACAATTAACCAGTGGAACTGCTTGCCACCAGAAGTTGTGGATGCTCCAACACCGGAGGTTTTTAAGAAGAAATTGCACCACCGTTTGTCTGGAATGCTACCGGGTCTCCTGCTTGAGTAGGGGGTTGGACTACAAGACCTCCAAGGTCCCTTCCAACTTATTCTGTAACATTGAATGCCCTTGCATTGGCTGGAAAGGGGGAAATGTGGTGGGTGGGAGCTGGGCTAGAATTTTCCTCTAGACATTTCTACCTCCTCTTTCTCTGGACAAAATTGAGAAATAGATGCTGGGTGTCCGTGTTCTTCTGTTTTATAATGTTTGTCATCTGCAATAATATAAAAAATGATCCTCATCATCTTGTGGTCTTTGGGGGTTTTCAGTTTTAAACACTCGCCAGCTGCTATTTAATACAATAGGGTACTAAATCTCTCCCTCCCCTTTCTGTGTCTATAATTTTAGTACTTTAAGATGGAGGTGAAATCCTTTTATATTTCTGTCTTAAAGTTTGATTTTTTATATATATATCCCTTGTGATAGTTTAGCTGCTGTGAGAAAAGATGGACTTGATGGTGCATGGACAGAAAATGGCACTGGTGGTTTTTCACTTTTTACCCAGTAGCCCAAAAGGGGGGCGGGAGGGGAGCAATATTTCCAAGCCCCTCCGCAGACCAGAGACAGCTGGGAGACCAGGCTGGAGACACACACACACACACACACACTTGCTTTATGGTCCTCCTCAAATCTCTGACCACTCTTGAGTTCTGCCCCCTTTTATGACTTTTCTTGCCAAAGGGGATCACATGACACCTCCCACCCGGGACACCAGGGCCCATGGGGTGTAATGGCATAAGCCAGGGTCCCCAAACGTGGCCACTTTAAGACTGGTGGACTTCCAACGCCTAGAATTCTGGGAGTTGAAGTCCACCTGTCTTCAAGTGGGCAAGTTTGGGGGCCTCTGGGACAAGCCTTGAGAATTCTCCTTTTCAACACCCCCCTTTTGGCTCTGATTCTAGGCAGGTTTAGGGATTCCCTTCCTAGGAGAATCCTGCGGCTGAAG